CAAAGATTAGTTTTTCAGCTCTGAATCCTTGCTAAAACATACCAGAATCAACCCCTTCTAACTTTATTTTAAGCTATTACAAATAATAGTTTGAAAATAACTTTTTTAAGCAGAATCTCAAACAATATGATAAAACTACTAACCAATTTCTTCTTCTTTTTCAGACCAGCAAATGAAATTTCAAGACCATTAGAAAATGCAGAATTCGGTAAACATACACATCATAGCACAATTGTGGCCCAATAAAAAAGTGGAAAGCGAACAATGTACATGAAATAATGAACATTAGATTTCTGAATTAATTTACATGAACAATAGATTGCTGAATATATTTATCAAACAGGCTCTTAGTTTTCTCAGCGAGATTATCAACAGTCTCTTCTTCTGTAGGATCTTGAATCACGGCCTTCTTCTTTTTCTGGAAGCTATAAACATCTCCTGAAAGATCTTATTTTTCAGATTGTTGAAAATCTGTTATAATTTAGTTTTGTGTTGTATACTATTTAAATAGCACAGGTGCAAATGCTGATACTCGAAACCCATAGAGAAGAATAGAACAGGAAAATATTGCGAAAGAATTTTCAGGGATCATAATTTCTCTCTAGCTAAATGTTAACGGATTCTGCGTGTTATTTCCTATAAAATTCTAGACCTCAAAACCTTCAACCCTGTTGTCTAATTCTGTGTCTATTCTCACAATTGAGTTGGTATTTTTCTAGACTTTCTACTATCTTTTAATGAAGAAAACTCGAAAATATTTTGCCAATATAATACCCCTTACTCAATACAAAGTAAGCATAAACCATATTTTCACACAATAAAGAGTAAAAAAAAAATTCCAACTCTCTCTAAATCAAGATAACTTGAAATAAACCTAATCGGACACATGGGACTTGAGCTGTCTAAACTTAAGCACACTTCATCGGTATCAATTGAAAAAAAAATTCTTTGACTTACTTATTACCATATGACAGTACAGAGACACCTCTGCTTACCTACAAAAACTATCACAAATTATCATAGATCATCTTACCAAAATATAGAATCACAATGGCTATCATGGTCCTCTGTTTTATCAATAACACCATATATGAATCCATGGAAATTACTGCACATTAAAGATGCTTGTTCATTAGAATCGATAAGTTCAACAAAATCTTTAACATATTGGTAATTCGGATATTCGGAGATAGTATATATCTCAAAGACAGCTGTAGAAATAAGCAGTAAAATAAAAGTATAAATAATATATGAAACAGTAAAACTAAAGAGAATAGACATTTAATCTAAAAAGGTAAAAAGATATAAGCAGTTAACATATGAAATGATTTAAAATTGTGTTGAACTATTTGACTATAATGAGTTGATAAAAGAGAGAGTTTCACTAATAGCCAACTACAAAAGTCAATCAATTATTCCACTAATGATCAAAGTCACAAAGTCCTGATGAATTTCTATCAAAAACCTGTCAAAATTCCAAAAGAAGTGCGGTTATAATTCTGTCAATTGATGCCCAATATCATAAGTACCAAAAGCTGTAGCGAACGTTGATTCTCCAATTAACTCAGGAATTACTTTGCCCCTAAAATTCTCAATCTAATAAAAAATCAAGAGGGCAACACCCCCCGACGGAGATCGGCTTGTTCGGTCAGGTCGCGGGGAAAGCGCCCCTCATGGGGGTTCGGGGGCGTTGGAATTTTGATTTTCACGTATTTATGGAATTGAATATTTTCTAATGTTTTTAAATTAAATTATTAATAAGTGAAATTGTATTTATAGTTTGTATAAAATGTAAATAAATAGAATTTTTGGCAAAAAAAAGGAAATAAAAAGAAACGGCGCGGAGCCACTTAAGAAATTCTGATTTTATATATGTATGAAATGAAGCAAAAAATTGAAGAATAAAAAAAAAACTTGCTCCGTACAATGCGGAGTAAAACTCCGCATTGTGCAGAGCGACTCTGCACAGATAGACACTACGCATCTGTGAAGTAGTTGCCCATAACTCGCTCACCACGTTCGATGACAACACGATACTGCATGGGGTGAAGTAGTTCGACGTTCGTAAAACAACTTCTGCATTGTGCTCCGAATGTGTTCAATAAAGCTTGTGATCGGTAACGAATGGGCATGTCTCAACATTGCGT